CAAACACATCAAAAGTTGGAAATCTCTTCCCCTGCCTGCGCCCTACACCAGACCGTGTGCTTGCAGCCTGACTCGTAACTCATCTTTGAAAAAAGCGTATACCAAGTAAACGCATTTAAACAAATACAGTTAATCTTTATTTGAATACAGAAACTGCAGTAGTATTTACATAACCTTATTGTGTGTCGGCCAGTTAATAATGTAACACTTAAATTGCGGTCAGGGGTATATAAAGTGTCTGCCTACCGCCTTGTGGGCATTAATGAGTCCCCCTGAATCACGCTCAGATATTACAATCTGCTTACTTCTTCAGAGCAAGCTATTTGTGTTGTGTGCTCCTGGCCAAAAGTTTGGCTGGGGGCACGACGATGCCCTACATGTGACAGGACAGGGAGGAAAGACCAGCTCTGGATGTGCAGGGTGATTACGGGGCAGTGAGCTGACAAAGCAAATCAGGCCAGCGCAGATCTTGGCGCTTGTGGAAAGAGCTGTTCAGGACACACATAAAAGGGAGTTTCGGTGTCCTCTGGTGGGACATTCTGCCTCCGTATCTCTCAGCTCAGAGCTCAGAACATGAATGAGAATACAGAAGATAATGACACTATTCGACACGTGGCAGATTAACGTTGCTTAATTCCACATCTCCTGCAGCAGCCGTGGGACATTGGCTGGTGTCAGAAAACCTGATGTGAAATAGTCAATAATGGCACCCGTTGTGCGTCTTCAATAATTTAGTGCTGTTCATGGACCAAAAGGGGGCACTCTTCTCTCTGACAAAATTAAATATCATTGCCCCTGTGCAGTTTAAGTGCAGATCTGACTCTCTGTAGTCATTAAGAATCTTCATTAAAGAACTTACTGCAGCCTTTGAAAGTACAGAGTTAGTCACCACAGACTCCTGGCCATATACTGTATATAGTCAGGACCACAAGAAAAAGTCTTATATACAGTATTAGTGAAAAACAGTAATACAAGGAGATTAAAGGGAGTTTCCCCACCTATAGAGAGCACCCTAACCAGCCAATAAAACAACGACAACATCAAAACAAAACAAAAGAACAACAACAACAACAACAATAATAATAATAATAATAATTCAGCATTTATTATAAAATATAAGAAAATATAAATAATGACTTCTAGAACAATTCAGAACTTCACAATTTTGGAAAAATATGCCATCCATACAGCATTTACGTTACATTTCTGCATTTCTGTTTACATCCATTTAGCACATTTCATCCAAAGCAGTTTCATAGCAAGACAAATGATTGGTCAGCGCACACTGTGAGGCGGCACGCGGCCGAGCTGATGTTAATTGGCTTGTCAGCTGGAACTGAGCCGCACTCCGATTCAAAATCCGCTAATGGAAACCAGCCGCCTGCCGTCCCACATAACAGACGGCCGGAGCGAAAGGCCGGTCAGGAGGAGGCTTGACCTGGGGAGGGACAGTCGCTCCTGTCACTCTAGCTAGAATTACATGAAGACATTCACCATTTTCGCCTCCTCTGTTAGCACCGCTTTATCACCACAAGGGAAAATAAGCAGACGTGGCAGAATCTAGAGTGGGGTTGCAGGATTTTGAACGTCCCCTTAAAGAAGAGCAAATCTTTTTCAGCCCTGAGTGACTGTTAAACAACAGCTGCTATATCATAATTTGCCCTGTCTTGTTAAACGAAGATGCTGACATATTTTGAGCAGTTCTCCGTCAATTCTGTGCCAGAGGACTGAATTTTGCCCCATAAGCGTGAAACAACAGCAACAGTAGCCAACCCAGAGCTGTTTTACCGGTGCTGTCAGGTAGTACTGGGTCTGGGCCCTTGTTTTTGAGCCGTGGGTTACCATCGAAGCAGCGCCCTCTTAAGTCCAGCTGGGACACCACAGGACATCAACATCCAGGGAAGATCGGAAGGCAGACCTGCTGTGAACAGCTGGTTCATTCAGAAGTGGGAAAAAGCCTGTTCGCATTGAAGCAATGAAGGCACAAGCTGTTTCCATCTCCCTGGCTTTGGGGGGTTTGGCTGGAAAAGGTCCACCTGAGGCTCTGAAGCTCATCTTCCAATTAGGCAGTGCTAATCCAACTGATGAGTAAGGATCCGTAGAAGCGATTATTCACGAAAAGTCACTAACCGATTATGGTAATTCGCCGGTGCCTCCGTTTCCGACGAGTGACGAGACGCGGAGACGCATTTCTGCTAATGTGCTTTGTTTGTATCAGCATAAAATAGAACGACAAAAGGTTAGCAAGGCTAATTATCCCTTACTTCCTTTAATTTCCCAAAGGTCCTGAATTCATTATTCATAAATTCATTTTGACTGAAAAAAGGCCCATTATGCCATATAAACAATAAACTCATAAACGTTGCAAATTTACAGGCTGTCAGCTTGATTGGCACAAAATACCCTACGTCACCTGATCAGAAACCCGCTCTCCCCACAAACAATATTTAATGGCCCGGCTAGTGCGGGCCAGCCATGGAAACTGTGATTTATTGATGTACATGTTTGGGATTCATGTGGAACTGAATGAGAGACTGCAGGCTACAAGCAACAGGCAACGATCGCATTTCATTTCAGCGCTGTTACACTGGGCCACAAACGACTGCATAATGTGGCCTACATAACGGTAAGGCAAACTGGTGCATCACAGTAAGGGAACGGAAATAACGTCCCGTAACACAATACTGGAGAGCTTTTCTTCTGCCTGGTGATTGTAGAAGCAGGTCAGCGGCATTCTACAGACATGTGTTCTCTGATTATACACTCAGGTCCCCCATTTCAGATAAAAAAAAAAACATCCTAAATCCTTCTGAGCCAAAATCAAAAAGAGACAGAGAAAGTAAACATCCAGGAAGATAACTGGACCACCTACTGTACAGTATCTCCGTCGTGATTCGCGCCTTTTGAAAGTTTTTTCCCCAATGTCTGAGCAGAAGATGTCTGAGGAATTCAAATATCTCATGAAACTCAATCTGCATGTTTTATTTGATTTGGTTATCTTTCATCTGTTTACCTATTTTATCTTGGATACTGCTTGCTTGGTTTCACAGAGCAAATGGAAATATGTTATGCTCTGCCGGGCTTTGGGGTAATTCCCAGAATTGCGTCGCAATTGGCTGTTCTCTGTGCTCAAAACATGGATGATTACTGGGTAGACGAGTCCTCCTGGGCACTGCCAGACTGTAGCGGGGGTCGGTAGAGTAATTCTCTGCGTGCTTGTAGTACCCGCATCTTCCACCTCGCCATATTCGATTCAAGCATTATTGTGGATCTTTGCAATCTAAACCTTAATACATCCAATAGATCTTAACTTCATCTCCATTATTGCCCCTTGGGTAACGTTCTGTTGAAGACGCCCCATCCCTGCAGATACTCAAGGAAAGTGTTTGCATGGACATGCCAAGCAGCAGTAAGCAGGCCCTTACAGGGGCAATTTACAAGACAACATCTGCGACTGAGACTTATAAGACCTACGGAGGGGCCCTTGGGTTTGTTTCTATAAAGGCAAGACTTCACTGCACTTTGTCATAATCTTTGCTTGCCCGTCTCATTCAACACCCCCCGCATAAATCCTGCAGCAAGCATGTGCTCTTTGTGGAGCTTGTGTTTGCAGGCAACACGGCCTTCGAGAAATTAAGGCAGGAGGCAGCGAAAGCATGCTGTAGAAGTCGAGTCCCTGGGGCCCAAAAAAGAAAACATCCCTTGTAGGTAAAACCAAGACGGATTCACTCGTCTGCAGACCTGCAGGTGAGGCAACATGGAGATGTATCATTCAACCCAGGGCTATGATGTCAGCCTCATAATGGAAGTGACTGAAGAGAGATGACAGAACTTCAGATGTTGCACTGCAACAGCCATGGGGAACAAGTCGGTTGCAGTCCATTTAATGATTTATTGCGCCTCTCCTCTCCCACTTCCAACTCACCAGAAGAAAGTCTACCCCCCAGGTATCGTCATAAATTCATTTATAAAACATTTATGGAGTGAGGATCCTCCCCGAAGGAGAGCTGTGCTGTCAGTGGGCTGTAATTTGTGTAGACACTCCTTCCTTGTGAGAAGAGGAGGCGTTTGTGGGTGTAAACAGTCGCGGGGTTTGATGAGCGCTGTCATATGAAGTGATACTCATTCGTAGCTTGGGGAATGCGCTTGTAATTACGCTGCCACAACACCGTGTCTGGACCTGATGCTCCACGCCAGAGCCCAGTTCTGCCGCAAATCTACCGATGAAGGAAAATATCATCGGATGATACGTTGTGGCAAAAATATGAAAAATTATCCTATGATGAGAGCTGCTATTTTTGTGGCCCGGGCTTAAACACACATTTAATCGAATGGACTCACAGGTATATATAACGGTGCCACTTTCAGCGTTCCTCGCGGTGCCGCTCTCAATCGCGGGTCAGATGACGTAGTTGATGCCATGCTACACGAATGTTATAGACGTATATTAACTTGTGGCTTACATATCTGATTTTGCATAGGCCACATGCCTACAGCAAGCTAATTTAAATTAACCGTCCAAAAGCAGAGGGTGGGAGCATATGCGAGGGGGTGGGAGCATATGTGAGGGCAAAAATTTATATATAACACGCACCCGAACACACGTACGACGTTCTTCCTCTGCACAAAATGCTAGCAAATTATTCATCTAATCATTTGATAACAAATTGTTTAAAATGAATATAAAAACATAGATTGTATAATATAGACTTAAGCAGGGGTGTAGTTAGTGATAAATGGATGGGGGGCTAAGTGTTTACTAGGGGGGGCATGAATTACGTCAATAAATTAATTTGGGGGGTTAAAAAGCTTTTTAGGGGGTATACCCATGTTTGTCAGTTTGTCAACGACATTATTGTCATAATTTCTGCTTGCCGTTATTTTGATTCTGAAGTGTTTCTGAAGTTTCTACTGTCAGGCACTCTGCAAGCTCGGGGCTCAGAACTTTATCTGCTGCAGAAAGGAGAGAAAACAGCGTTGGAATCTGCAGAGAATCATACCTGAGATTATGGAAGCCAGTCGAAAGGCGTCCGAGACGCGAAATGTCAGGGGCTCGTATGGTGACGTCTCGTAGAACTCCTCTCCTGTGAATGGCAGATAAACACGGGTTATTAGAGGAGTGTAGAAAGTGGACTTATCCTGGCTGCTGTCTTCCAGTAGAACATGGGCAGAGCAGGGCAGAACTTAGAGAAAAAAATACACAGAAAAAATCCCGCTCTGAACGCAATGAGGTTGAAAGATACGCATAAGCAAATGAACGGAGAGCTCAGAGTGCATCAGCAAAAAGCAACGTTGGAATGATTATCAGAGTGAAAGCTGTAAATATCTTACTATATTCACCAGTTGTTCCAGAAGTGCAAGCCTCAGGACATTCTGAAGAAAGGACTGAAATAAACTGAAGTGATAAAGATCTGGGGGCAATCACCCCCCACCCTGGGGCAAACCCTTCCTTTGCCCACTAGTCAACTGTTTAAAAAAGAACATGAAACGCTAAAAATGTTAACGTTAAAAGTGACAAAACTGACTAATGGAATATGACTTGTAACTGGTACCTGATAAACTGCAGCTCTTTAAAATAGAGGCGGAATGTAAATTGAGCAGCAAAGAACAAAACAGCTTAGAACCTTTGGGGACATTTTCAGTGGCGGTACAGTCTATGCCAGAAAGTTTCCACGACTTCAATTCCTTACCTACTTATATAAACATATAATTCACAGTGAAGCTGAGACCAGATGCCTTGTGAAAATATGACAATGTGACTATTATTCAGTGGTGGAATCTCTTACCCTCTACCACTCCAACCACCTCATGGTGATTTGTGAGAACAATCCGGTGGGTGTGGTAGCTGGGCAACAGGAGCCATGATTGATGTGGCTCTGTGACATCACTTCATGTCTGTCTCATGGTGACTGTGGGGCACTGTGAAGAATTACTATCCTTCAGAAGGAGGAAACCACTTTAACAGTTAGCTGATTATATGGACGGAGTAATGAGTCCCTCAAGGAACACAGTAAGCTGGACTGCATGAACGAACACTGAGCACTAGTCATAAGATATACAGAAAGGAACGCAATAAAACGGGTGGAGTTAAATCAGCACCACTTGTGCCGCACGAGCACCCCTGATGGAGAAGGAAAACTGCCCGCTTCACTGATAGCGTCAGGCATTGTGGAGATGGGTCTCGCTGGGCGAAGCTACGGGTAAGAGAACCTCGGGAGATGAGGAGGGGGAAAAAACAACATCAGGATCCAGGAGAGTGAGAATCGCTGAAAACTCACATTGATTTCCGCTTGTCCAGAAACACCAAAGGCTGCACTTATCTGTCCTGACAAGCGATGGGGGGAGAAAGGTGTCTCAGATCTTATCATTACTGCAGGACTGAGGGATCAGGAAGGTGAATGCTAACGCTGGCTTCAAAGTGCTTTTCTTTGCCAATATAAAATATGACACCATGCCATGGGTCCAGGATGGGATCATCTTGCCTCTGTTCTTAAAGAAAACAATTCCAGATGGACAGTGTCATGTATAACGATCCTCTGGCTCTTTTATGTCGTTAAGCTTCTGCTCTCGGTAGCTTTTTTAAATGTCAAATTAATAGCATGAATAACACTGCTGATGAAAGTGTGTTTGAAGAAATTACAACCCCATTTCCAAAAAAAATTGGGATGCTGTATAAATAAAAACAGAATGTAATGATTCACAAAGCACATAAACTCATATTTCATTGAAAATAGAACAAAAAAAACTGAGAAATGTTATTGTTTCAGAACAAATACATGCTCACTTTGAATTTGATGCAAGCAACACGTTTCAAAAAATTTGGGACAGGGGCATGTTTACCGCTGTGTTGCATCACCTCTTCTTTTAACAACACTGTGTAAACGTTTGGGAACTGAGGAGACCACTTGCTGGAATTTTTAAAGTAAAATGTTGTCCCATTCTTGCCTGATATAAGTTTTCAGCTACTCAACAGTTCAGGGTCTCCTTTGTCATATTTTTTGTTGCACGATGCACCAAGTGTTTTTAGTGGGTGACAGGTCTGGACAGCAGGCAGGCCAGTCTAACACCCAGACTCTTCTACTACGGAGCCATGCTGCTGTTATATGCACAGAATGCAGGTTGGCATTGTCTTACTGAAATGTGCAAGGCCTCCTATGGAAAGACGTCGTCTGGATGGCAGCATATGTTGCTCCAAAACCTGTATAAATCCTTCAGCATTGATGGTGCCTCCCCAGATGTGCAAGCTACCCAAGACATGGGCACTAATGCAGCCCCACACCATCACGGATGCTGGCTTTCGAACTGTCTGCTGAGAACAAGCTGGATGGTCCCTCACCTCTTTAGCCTGGAGGGTGTGGCCTCCATGATTTCTAAAAAGAATCTGAACTTTTGATTCTTCAGGCCACAGGATAGTTTTTCATCCTCCCTCAGTCCATCTTAAATGACCTTGGGCCCAGAGGAGACGGCGGCGTTTCTGGATCATGCTTAGATCTGGTTTCTTCTTTGCATGGCAGAGTTCCATCCTGCATACATGGATGCAGCAACAACCTGTGTTCACAGACAGTGGTTTTCGGAAGTGTTCCTGAGCCCATGCAGTGATTTCCACTGTAGAATCATGTCTGAGTGCCGCATGAGGACCTGAACAGCATGGCGATCCAATATTGGTTTTTGGCTTTGTCCCTTGCGTACAGAGATTTCTCCAGATTCTCTGAATCTTTCAATGATAACATGTACTGTAGATGATGAAACTCCCAATTTTTTTGCAATATTATGTTATGTTGACGAACATTATTCTTAAGTTGTTACACTATTTATCCATGCAGTCATTCACAGACTGCTGAACCTCTCCCCATTTCCACTGCACAGACTGCTGAACCTCTCCCCATTTCCACTGCACAGACTGCTGAACCTCTCCCCATTTCCNCACAGACTGCTGAACCTCTCCCCATTTCCACTGCACAGACTGCTGAACCTCTCCCCATTTCCACTGCACAGACTGCTGAACCTCTCCCCATTTCCACTGCACAGGGACTCTGTCTCTCTGGGAGGGTCTTTTTATATCCAATCATCTTACTGACGTGTTGCCAAATAACCTAATTATCAGATATTCAACCAGGTGTTGCCTCTGTCACAACTTTTTTTAAATGTGTTGCTGATATCAAATTCAAATTTAGCATATGTTTGTCATAAAACAATAACAATTCTTTTTCAACATATGATATGTTTTCTTAAAACCCATGTTTTACAATCACCAGCTGCAGAAGTCCAAAGGGCTTTTCATTGATAAGTTTCTTTAGGTGGTTGCTATGGTAGGCCTTAAGGTTTGAGAGCTAAATCAAGGAATTATTTTACATTTTGAGTGCAAAAGGATAAATTCAGTCCCACATTATTATCGGAGGTGGAAATTTCAGGTCCAGAAAGTACAAATCCAGACAAGGATTTTGTTTCAACCAACCAGTGGAGTACTCTGTAACTGTGACTCTTTATGCTCAACTGGTTGGTTGAAACTAAATCACGGTCTGGATTTGTACTTTCTGGACCTGAAATTTCCACCTGTGATTATTATTCTGCAAAGGGCCAGATATTGTACCACCCTGTTTTGGGGCCCAAAACCCCCAAATTCCTTTGGCAGGATGGAGTCAAACTCTAACAGAAAGAGATAAGCTAGAATGTGACATGTCATCAACCTATATAACAGATCAGATCATATGACTCAGGTAATGATATGCTCTAAGCCTAATAAACAGTAAGACTGTCGCAACGATTCCACCACTGTTGTGATGACACATTCGAGATGAATTCCAATTTAACGGCATTCTCGTTTTCATTTATGTTTTGTTTTTTATCACCATTTGTACTGCCATGAATATGTGGATGTATTTTCACAGTGAAAAACTGATTGCTTAATAGATGATCTACAACAGGATTGCACTACTGTTGTAGTCCATTGGGTTTTAAAGATAGATTTGGAGTTTAAATAATCAGGCTTCTAATTTCTAATTCAAGTATTTTCCTTTTCTACCCCAATGTCTTTCAGTTCGCCGCAAAATAAATATAGTACTTGTTTTTTCTAATTAACAAAATTCCTAGACATATACTACATTACTTGGAAAATCCCCCTGTTCTTAAAACCATAAGTGTCCTACTACACATCCACCTCAAGAAGACCTGAGTTTCTTGAACCGCATAGTGTTTATCAGAAGTAAACACCGTTTCCCAGAAACAACTCTAAAGCAAAGAAAACAATGGTCCTAAAATAGCAGTAATGAATGCAACCAGAACCGGGAAACTTGCTGATTATGAGTTGAAGATAATTATAAAATATTTACGGGAGAGAGCACAATATCAGGGCAACTCCCCAAGTAGAGAGGGAAGGTTATAAATGTGAAATACTCACAAACATACATCACATATTGCACATATATCTTGGCTGCTAAGACGTGTTGTTTATGTCTTAGATCGGTGTCAGCGTCAAATAACGTGAAATATACAGTACAGGGTGAGCGATTTAAATGATTCAAAACATATACATGTTCACTGACCACACATGTTTGAGAATTATTATACCAGCAGCCCTGCTTCTTCTGGCACAGAACATCATGATGCCTCCAGAGTATTTATTTTGGTTTCATTCAGCATGACAGTAAGGTAACTGACAATAGTACATCAACTGGGATCAAAACTTGTCTCATGACCCAATCACGTAAACTGATGGATAAGCCATTATCTAATATTCATTAAGTTGAATATTGTAGGGACTGGGTTTAAGGTTACATAAGTTGCACAGCCTTGGGAGAAGAGGCAAGCATATTACAGTCAGGTAGACAGTGACCACAGCCATAGTTTGGTCAATACAGCTTTATTTCTCCTCAGACGAAGACGGGTACAAGGACAGTACTGCCAGGTCACTGCCAGTTCTTTTGGATATGCAATCTTAATGTTTTGTTTTTTTTTAATACCGTTGATGCCATCTATCAGTGCCTTCTCACAATCCCCCTCTATCACCCTCCTCTGGATTTCTTCCTGTGCCTTCTGTTAATCATGAAATCACAGAGTTAACCACAAAATCTTACTCATCTCCTTG